GCTGTATGCTGTATGCTGTATGCTGTATGCTGTATGCTGTATGCTGTATGCTGCACCCTGTATGCTGTTTGCTGTATGCTGTATGCTAGTCTAGGAACTATGGATTTTTATTTCGAAGCATAGTCAGCTTTGTTTTAGCTCTCCATTGCTTTGCCAGGCAATAAGGGGCTTCAGTTTTGTTTTATTAATGCTGACGCCTGTTTAAAATTTTAGTTTTATCCGAGTTCAATAATTGAAAAAAAAATTCGATTACATAAAAAAACAAAAACCCAAAACTCGCTAAAGATCTAGTGCAATGATGGCCGGAACTCGGGCTCAAATCAATATCTTCGTACCACCCGTTTGTCGTTTTCCGGAGCTAACTGTTATCGGCGGCTGTAGGGATCCGGTTCAGCTGATGCTTCCGCGTTTGCCAACGCCCAATGAAAAGTCGACGATATCGGCTATGGCAGCGGTGACTGCTGCCGCCGCCATGGAGGAGGATGTTGGCATCGAGGGCAGCGGACGTTCTCTCTATGTCATCGATAGGCAGGGGCGGGTGCTGGAGCATGTGCGTTACCAAGGCACCGATTATCGTGGAGCTCTGCGCGCTGCCATCAGTGCCACGCCCACGCATTGGAGAGAGTAACAACAACTCATGATTATCCTGAATCTACATATAGATACGCACCCACACACTCACACACAAACAATCCTATCAAAATTTTACAATCAAATTTGCAGTTAACGAATCCGAAAATTTTTATCAAAATTGTTTACGAAATGAAAATAATTTAAAATTAATACAAATATTTGATAATATTACCTTAAGAAATTTGTTTCTTCTCATAGTTATCGATAATTAGCAAAACCTAAATTGGAGCAGAATTCTTTTATTACTAATTTGGAATTTCTCTTTTTCAAAAGTGGCTCTCAGCATAACATTTAGGTCAGCATTCTGATAAGGTATCACTTATAAGTGCTGTAAGTCAACTTTCGATAAATATCGACTGTATGCTACATGCTGTATGCTGTATGCTGTATGCTGTATGCTGTATGCTGTATGCTGTATGCT